ACATGCATCAGATCCTCAGTTTTGTTTTGCCATTTTATACATGGTGGGTTGTCAGCCCGTCCTGTACGGATTGGCTCACCCCCATTTCTTTGCTGTTAGGAAAAGCAGAGCTTCATTTCCCCCTTTTATTCACCTGGGCAAGCATTTGGGTCTATTTAGCAACCAGAGGGGTGACAATACTTCATGATAGATTGCAGGCAGGTAGCAATACGCTCTTCTAGGCCAGGTAGCATTCCAGCCTGTGTTATGATATTCAAAGAAACTGTCCTAACAGAGACTGGACTGGTCCCAGAAGGACTTCTTTTTCCCGTTTTATTCAAATATACAAGCATTTGTGTCTAGTTACTATATTATAGGTGAGAGTATCTGTTCACACCAATTTTTGATTTCATCTCACTTGTTAGATGCATCATACCATCAGTTTTGATTTACTACTGTATACATGATGGGTTTTTGGCCCATCTTTAGGGATTGACTTTCCCCCATTTCTTTGGTGTTAGCAAAGGCGGCCAATCAGATCTACCAGCCAGTAAGTTAGAGCTTAGTCTCTCAACAGACATAATAGAGAATGGTCAGGTCATAGGTATTTGCATGGAGCAGAGCTTGAGATCATTATACATAGGATAGAATGGACTAGACAAAGTGCCATACAAATACTGAAGAATGTCACTGTAGGACTAGTTTCCTGCAGAGTAAAATTCAGTGCATGAAAATACTTAACAGGCATGGCCATCAATTTCTACATTTGCTCTTCTAGATCATGTGGAATTCCAGGCTGTGTTATGATATTCAAAAATACTGTCCTAACAGAGACTGGACAAGTCCCAGAATGACTTCTTTTCCCTCTTTGATTCACATATGCAAACATTTGGGTCTATTTACTGTATTTTAGGTGTGACTATGCTTCATGGTAGATTCCAACCAGGTAACAGAGAGGACTACTACAGGAAGAACAAGTAACAGACTTACCTATTGCAGGCGTCTGCGTTGTAGTAGTGTAAGGAACAACTATTGATACAAAAAGAGATGTAATATGAAACTAAGGATGCTTTCATATTAAGAGCTATTCTTAAATGTGGCCTAAACTCTTCTACTATAGGTAGTCTCATGGAAATCTCCAGAAACCCTCAGGGTGATAATACCTAACTCCTTAAGTATTCTGGTTTTATGTCTTCTGTATCATGTGACAATGTTTGCTGACTTGCTTAAACACCAGCAAACCTGGAGTGAATACAACTATTCCTTTCTACTTTTAAGTAATAAAAAATATATAGTGAAAATATAACTCACAAATGGTGAATATATAACCCACAGTTGTAGTCTGGGGCTTGTTGTTTTTTCCTACCAGATCTAAACACTATTTAATTACACCCACTTATGGAATCCTGAACTTTTCACTGACCATTCCATTAATTCAGATCAAGCCCTTCTAAACATGACAATATATTTCCTTTTTAGCAAGGACAAACTATGGTAGCCTTTGTCCAACACCCCATTATTTACATTTTTAGAGTAGTGGCACAAATGCAGCTTTTCCTGTAAATATAGTGGATATTACTTGAGAGCTACATTTTTTATTATGCTTGCATTTAAAATGCATATGCACGTTACCGTATGAGTTCTGTACAATGCTTTTCAGCGTATGGAGCTCAATTCTGTGTGGCTGTGACTTTTATGTATAGTAGTAAACTATTCAGGAGTTTAAATTTAAGTCTGTTCTTCAATCCTAAGTATCCTGTATCACCCTGCAGGGTCAGGTCTATAAACCATTTACAGCTTAGCTCAGATTCTGAGTTACCTGTTTGTGGAGGTGCTGTCACTCCAGAGTCTGTTAGTATAGAAAAATAAGATATTAGATACAAGACATTACTAATACAAACAGGATGCATATACACATGCACTTTAATGTCGATGAGTCTATTTTAATACGCATTACAGCGTCACAAAAAACTGTGCTGTTTAGCTAATGTGCATTACAATAGGATAGTGTACATTTTTCTAGTACCTCACAAATGGGAGAAGGTATTTAATTTAATGCGCATTATCTAAAATGCGTTAATGAATGTGTAGACACGCCCATAGTCCCTCATTGATAGCATGACTCAAAAGCAAAATAGCAAATGTTTGAAACCTGTTTACAAAAAACGTAATTGTGTTCATTAAGATCATTATCACAGGTAAAAATTTGGTAAGTGTAAATCACACTAAGTTTAACTGAGAATTTACTACTTGCTTTTATGGAGCTTGGATTGGGTCTATCCTGATCTACCTTAATATCTGTCTTGTCTATCCATACCTTAGGTTCCCTCTAAATGTTACATTTATGCAGGGATTGTGTCAATTGCGCCATAAATGGCAAGGGCGCTATGTGTACACCCAACTTAAGGTGCTGTAAATGGCAAATAAGGCATACTATTTTTCCACAGATAATGTTGAACAATTTTATTGTTAATTTCTATGGTCCCTTAAATTGAATGTGAGGCCAGGCCAACAATCAGCTGATTGTTGGCTTGGGCTGAGGACCACACCAAGAGCTGGAACTGGCCACAGAGTGGCCCTTGCTTGGCTGGCAATCAGCTGGTTGTCAGCTCAGGCTGGGCATTGCACTGAGGTCTCAAACCAGCACCAGTGTGGTCCCCAGGCAGAGCCAACAATCAGCTGATTGTCAATCCTGGCCAGGAACCCGTGGGCACTCGATTTTCAACTTCCTGTGGCAGTTACCTAAACTTGGGCTCCCCCTGCAACAGCAAATAGGGTATGATGGGGATCTGATTTCTAGTCTCAAAATTGTGTCTCCTGTTATGTGTGCAGCATGGGAGGAGGCATGATTGTGGGGATCATAATCAGATCCCATTGTGCATTTAAATGAATGTGTCTCAGTAACATTAGATTAAAACATCCTCTCACTCCCCATTATACTCTACATCCACTGCTTGTATACTTGCCCTTCAAAATAAAGTTCATACATTTAAACTACATTGATCTGAGACATTTTACTACCATGGAGTGTAAAACAAAGATTTTGTAAAAAAGCAGAAGCCTTAGTATATCCTGAAATGAGTGGTTACAAGGGGTGTCAAGATGTAAAAGCCACAGATATATGAGAAAATCGAAGAATACATACCTGAACATATCACACCGGCATCCCCATAATAGTCACATGAACTGGGCCAATGTTCATAAGGACAGTTCCATAAAAAATCTTCATAGCCAGTGCAGCTCACTCCTGTCATCAGAGGATATAACCAACCTTGTCCATAATAGGAATTTCTCAACGCAGCGACAGCGGAGCCACAATTAAGTTGTCTGCACAAAACCTGTGCATCGTTCATATCCCATGAATAGCCACAAACTTTATACCAGCTTCCAAAATAAAATATTGCAACACGACCTGCACATCTGTTTGGCCCATTTGTGAGTCGCACATGAAGTACTTGGAAAGACACAAAATAATTCAGTGTTAGTGTTTTCCTCGGTTTTCGCTGGAGAATGGATTTAATGTTGATGCTTATGAAACTATACAAAACTGATAAAAGACTATTTTATTTTTACACAAAAAGTGTTGCTTTGTATAAAAAGGCTTCTCAGTTCTAGGACACTGAGATTAAATAACCTCCCTAAAATAGATAGTAAAAATCCTACAACACCATAAATAAGCCAAAGGTAAAATCCTGACTCTTCTGGAAGTTTTTAACTTACTTCAATACACCAGGATGAAGCAGGACTAAAATGATGCATCCTACATTTGTACACTGGGAGGTGGGGGATGGGAAAGAATAGGGGAAGTGGGCTTTTCCCCCTCTTTATTATTAAGGGTAGGACTGGAATAAAGTTAATTCCAGAAACTTAGAGATGGTATGGAGAGAAAAGGAGCAAAAAAGTGAAGACTGAAGACTTTTGAATTTTAAGAGCATCAGAATGAGGATTTAAAAATGGCACCTTATTTATATTACCACCACTTCAAACCACTCTGACAAGGGAAAGTGGCTTTCCCATGAAGACAAACATACATTATGAGCACTTGATGGTTGTTTCACCCTAGGGTTGCCTACTTTTTCTGAACTCTCTCCTCCCTTCTGAATTACCTACTTTCTGAATTACGTACAAATTTATCCCTGAGAGATAAAAATAATTGTGAGACCAATATTTCTAGGTCACCAATTAACATTTGGGCCAACTTAGCAATGCAATGCTATTATGAACAAATAACAGCTATAACTTAATAGTACTTTGCTGTCAGGGAAGATTTGGTTTGGATCCAAGTAGAACATGACACAATAAATATCTAGTAAGAGTCCTGAATCTACAGGATGGTTTTTGAGGCAATATTGTAAATCAAAGGAAAAGCAAAATGTAAATAATGCCATATATAAATTGACTCACCATCGCCTACAGTTTGATCTGAAAAAAGCATATGACAGAAAATACATTAGCGCAAAACACTTTGGTGTATTCAAAGCATTCCCTTTTTACTCCCCAAAATTGTAATCACTTGTTTGGGAAGTGCGGGTACATCAGGAATGTTGCAAACATGAATAAGACAAAGTGCCTCATTCTACCAGAAAGCAATTTCTAAAAATGTTAACGAGGCAGAAAGGAGACATTCCAAACCTACTCATTTCAAATCTTCGCGTTTTGTACACCTTAGCCAACAGAGCCATACGGAGCCCAACACCAACCTACAGATTTCAAAAGATTTGGTCATAGATGCCTAGATTCACTGCAGCATGTCCTCCTATCCATCCTCTTCGGAACACCAGAATTAGAGAGAGTAATAATGCTATCCAAGTTTTGGCTGCAGTCCGCTTCCATCCACCCTCAAGCCAGCCCTGGACAACTTATCCTGTGGGTCAGTGGGAAGATCGATCCTATTCAGTTCTAGGATGTATTCAGCATGAACAAATGGGAACAGAAGGGAGTGGTTCTTCCCTCAGTCCTTCTGCAACAGGAGAAAGGTGAGCAGGCTGGGAAACTTCTCTTTTCAACTCTTGTATCATCCTGCTGCAGGAGTGAGGTTTTTACCATCACCTTCCTTCCTGCTGAGCTGCTCAACTCCATGCAGGAGTTCCTAAACTCTCACAGGGCCCCTGTAAATCTAAGCTCCTACTTTGAAGGAGCATTCCTGATGCATGATACAAAAGTAGGCAAGTGGAATTATCAATAATAGTGAAAGGCTGATATTAGCAGGACACTCAGATTTATTGATTATATCTTGGTCAGACTGGTTTTCCCAGTCAGAAAATGTTGCCCAAGAAGGAAATATTATCAGATGACTTGAAAAGCTGTACAGCCTCTTTCACTGCATGAAAACAGCACTTTTTGAAAAATAGCTACAGGGGTCTTTGCAATTGTACAATAAAGGATGTGTCTAGAAGAGATGCTTACAGCACAGTAGCCTGTTACTACTGTGCAGTAGCATTGCTGGGCACAAATCATAATGCAATGTTACCGTGCAATAGTAACAAGCTACTGCACAGTCAGCGTCACCAGGCAACCATGCCAGGATGCCACTGCACAGTAACACCAGTTACTGCGCTGTCATTTAGTACTTGATTATGTGGTCATTTAGTAATTGGTTATTTTTTTGCAGTATTGTGTCAGTGATTTAATGAGATATGATGACATCACAAAAAAAAGTATACTACAGATTTGACTGATGGATATAACAAAAGCCAAATATGCACAGCACCACTGGAAAATAAAGTTAAACAAGATGGGACTTACAGGTGGTAGGTTCAGATGTTGTAGTAAACTCAGTTGTAGTGGTGGCTGTAAATGTATCTTTAAGGAAACAGAATAAATTAGAAATTGTTTTCTTTTTTCAAGGATATTAGTTTCAAGATTTCTGTTACTTAATACATAATAAGGGTCTTTAGTTACCAGTTTAGTGTGTTAAGTGACCCTCTAAGGAAGCTTTTGCTTATTATGATTGTAATAAAATCTTACTTTTTCATTCCTTTTACAAGGAGATGTAAAAATACAATGCAAATGTCTTGATGGAAAAAAGGGCACTAGGAAGAAAGATATTTGCACAAATTTCAATTGTTGGGACAGTGGCCAGGAGGGACCACAAATATATGATTCTGGAACCTGTTTGGTTAACTCTCTGCTTCTATTATCTGCTAGTTAATATCATAAACTCACCACATAATAACATTTCTCAACGTATTTTTCAGCTCTACTAATCTAATATAATAAAACCCTTAGTCCAGCTGTCTGTCTGTCTGTCCAGAACACTCCAGGCCAACTGCACATGCTGCCGAGAGGGCGGGTGGCGATTGGCTGGCCTGGGCACAACTTTGTGCTGGGTCTTAGGGGAGGGGACAAAGGCAGTCGGGGGCCAGGGAGCCACCACGCTGCACCCCACCCCCGCCAACAACAGCTGGCATGCAGGGGGAGGGGAGCAGGAAAGGAAGGGGAATGGTGGTGGCACAGTGGCAGTACCACCACTGGGGGAAAGGCTGGGTGGGGAGGGAGTGGAACTAAGACTACACCAGGCTGATCCTGGAGTTGGGGGGGGGGCTGTG